ACGACGACGAGGACGACGACGACGAGGACGACGACGACGACAACAACGATGACAACAACAACGACAACAACGACAACAACGACAACAACAACAACAACGACGACAACAACAAAGATGACAACGACGACGACAACGACGACAACAACAACGACGACGACAACAACGACAACAACAACGACGACAACAACGACGACGACGACGACAACGACGACAACCACAACCACAACGACAACAACAACGACAACAACAACAACGACGACAACCACAACCACAACGACAACAACAACGACAACAACGACGACGACAACAATGACGACGACGACGAAAACGACGACAACGACGACAACCACAACCACAATGACAACAACAACGACAACAACAACGACAACAACAACAACAACAACAACGACGACAACAATGACGACGACGACGACAATGACGACAACGACGACAACGACGACAACCACAACCACAACGACAACAACAACGACAACAACAACAACGACGACAACCACAACGACAACGACAACAATGACGACGACAACGACAACAAAGATGACAACAACGACAACAACAACAACGACGACAACGACAACGACAACAATGACAACGACGACGACGACGACGACGACGACGACGACGACGACGACGACGACGACGACGACGACGACGACGACGACGACGACGACGACGACAACAACAACAACAACGACGACAACAACAACAACGACAACAACGACGAGGACAACGACGACGACGACGACGACGACGACGACGACAACAACGACAACAACAACAACGACGACAACAACAACAACGACAACAACGACGAGGACAACGACGACGAGGACGACGACGACGAGGACGACGACGACAACAACGACGACAACAACAACAACAACAACGACGACAACAACAAAGATGACAACAACAACAACAACGACGACAACAACAAAGATGACAACGACGACGACAACGACGACAACAACAACGACGACGACAACGACAACAACAACGACAACAACAACGACGACAACAACGACAACAACGACGACGACGACGACAACAACAACGACGACAACAACGACGACAACAACGACGACGACGACAACGACGACAACCACAACGACAACAACAACGACAACAACAACAACGACGACAACCACAACGACAACAACAACGACAACAACAACGACGACGACAACAACGACGACGACAACAATGACGACGACGGCGAAAACGACGACAACGACGACAACCACAACCACAATGACAACAACAACGACAACAACAACAACGACGACAACCACAACCACAACGACAACAACAACGACGACAACCACAACGACAACAACAACGACAACAACAACAACGACGACAACCACAACGACAACAACAACGACAACAACAACGACGACGACAACAACGACGACGACAACAATGACGACGACGGCGAAAACGACGACAACGACGACAACCACAACCACAATGACAACAACAACGACAACAACAACAACGACGACAACCACAACCACAACGACAACAACAACGACAACAACAACAACGACGACAACCACAACGACAACAACAACGACAACAACAACGACGACGACAACAACGACGACGACAACAATGACGACGACGGCGAAAACGACGACAACGACGACAACCACAACCACAATGACAACAAGGACAACAACAACAACGACGACAACCACAACCACAACGACAACAACAACGACAACAACAACAACGACGACGACAACAATGACGACGACGACGACGACAACGACGACAACAATGACAACTACAACAACAACAACGACAACAACAATGACAACAACAACGGGGTGGGGTGGGGCCATGACATCGACGTGCAGGCGCTGTGAAGCGCGGAATGAGCTTACATTTATTTACAAGGCAGGTTTTTCCGTGCCCTAGCTTACATGAACAAGGCAATGTCTCTCTCCTGCTCGCTCCTACATGAACATGAGCTGTCCCGCCAATCTCTAAACCTTTATAAACAGCCTGCCTCAGTAGATTCCACTCCCCTCCCCCCTTCTTTTTCACCTGAAGACGGTTGCTTGTGTTGCGATGGAAACGTCGTGATCTATTATTATTTTTTTATCGACCTACGTGACTTTACCGAAAGAACCAAAGAGTATGGATAAATAAGTGAAATTATTTTAAACCACCACCCCCACCCGCCCGCCCGCCCGCCCGCCCCGGGCAGAGAGCCTCGCTTCAGTCCGGAGATTCCTGTGTGGGGCCGTCCATAAATGACGTCACGCGATTTTGGACGATTTTTGACCCCTCCCTCCTTCGTCACACGGCGTCACAAAAAGTCAGACCCCCCCCCCTCAAATATGACGTCACAAAGCCCTGCCCCCCCCCCCCCAAATAAAACATGCTTCAAATCGCTTTAAACTATTGTCATTGTAGTGCGTATTTAATGTGGCGCTGCACTCTGATGTTGTAGGAGAAAACATTTATTAAAAAGTCTATTTAATTAAGTAGAACGTGTTGTCTATGTTTATTTAAAGTTGCGCATTTTGGTGTGACGTCACATTTATCACCCCCCGCGCTCGTCACAAATGTCTGACCCCCCCCCCACCCCTAGGTGCGTGACGTCATTTATGGACGGCCCTTGTGGTGTTTTTTTTAATGTTGCTTTGTTGTAAGGCTCGTAGCGATCTGGGGGGACTGCCAATCTCTCCTCGCGGCCCCCACACCTCTCCCTGCACCTACGACACCCTGCAAGCCCCCCACCCCCCCCCCCCCCACCGTGGTCACCCATCATCGAGCTTGCGACACAAAACGGATTTCGTCTCTCACTCTCAGTTCGCGGAGGAGGTCGCAGCCCGCCACTCCGTCTCCAACCCCCCCCCCCCCTACCCCCTTTCAACCACAGCAACCCCACGACTTCACCAGGCCAGCATGGCCCTCGATGGTGGTGACAATCCATGCCGATATGGCAGGCACCACGGTGCCTACTTCGCGGCCGGCGTCTGCCGAGATTGGGGGCCGTCCGTAAATGACGTCACGCACCTAGGGGAGGAGGGGCGGGGCGGGGGGGTTAGACATTTGTGACGATGTGTGACGAGGGAGGGAGGAGGGGGGGGGGGTTGAGAAATGTGACGTCACATCAAAATGCGCAACTTTAAATACATATAGAATTGTTATAACAACACTAATTGTTATAACAACACTAATTGTTGTAGCAACACTCCTACAACATCAGAGTGCAGCGCCACATTAAATACGCACTACAATGACAATAGTAGTTTAAATCGATTTGAAGCATGTTTTATTTTCAAAATGGAAATATGGTTTTGCGGGGGGGGGGGGGGGGGGGCAGAGCTTTGTGACGTCATATTTGAGGGGGGTAAAAAAATCGTCCAAAATCGCGTGACGTCATTTATGGACGGCCCTTTGTGCGCGTGACGGTGGTGCTGGTTTTATCAGTGTTCGTGTGATTTTGGCCGTAGACGTGCAGTCGATAGCCCTGCGATGATAATAATGCTCGTGGTGAGTTGGCTGCAGCCAATTGTGGGCCACAATATCTGCAGTGCGGCATGGTGTGGGGGTGGTTGGGGGGTGGATCTCTGCTGTGTGTGCGCGCGTGCGCGAGTGAGATTTATATTCGTTACAAACACATTCCTGCCACTTCATTTTGCTCCTCTTTGAATATTAATGATGGAATGACACCTCGGGGAATTGTGCAAATTTCTCATCGGTAGAGAGTTAAACTGCCGGTACATTAAATAATGTATAATGCTCTCACAATTCTCTGGAGTTTATATTTAGATACGCTTTGCCGTTTTTCTATTTTCTCTCGCAAACTTTCTCATATATATAGATGCGTTTTTTTGTTGTCAGGTCATTGTTGGATGGTTATTTAAGTGGGGATGTAATTGAAAGAAAAAAATGTGCCACATATTTTTTTTGCACGAGAAATACTGCATTGTTACTCGGTTGGTCATGCCTGTAATTTATAATGGCAATGTTTTTTTGCATATTATTTAGGGCATTGCTGTTAACCCCCACATTCAAATTTGTAATACTCAATAATAAATTAGCCATAGAGTCTAAAATGCAGAGGCCCTCTTGAGGCTCATTACGGTTTTCCTGGGTAAGATAAAATACATTTACTGAAAGATTGGAAATTATACCCGCAAACCAACAGGAAAAATCATATTTTCAAACCCTTAAGCCCCGTTAAGTATGATATCTTTCCTTTATATTGCCCCTCTGATTTCAGTATAAAGCTGTTGAACAACCAAGGTTATTGGAAAACATAGATAAGTAAACAGCGATTAAAAAAGCGTGATTATTGCGAACGCATATGCAGAGGTATAATTATTGAGAGAGGCATTGAAAACAGAACAAAACGTTGGAAAAATCCAGACTACAAGAAATATAGCAGACATAATTGACAACTAATTCCAATCTTGATTTGAAGCTTTCGTGACTGCAAGAATCCACACTCTTTGGTTCTTTCGGTAAAGTCACGTAGGTAGAAAATAAAATAAACCACGACGTTTCGGGCGTAAACACAAGCGTCCATCATCAGGTGGGAAAGCATGGTCTGCTGCTGAGGCAGACTGTTTTTTTTTTAAATTCCAGTTGACGATAGCAAAAAGATTCGGATGCAGCGTAGCGTCCTCTATAGAGGCCAAAGTTATAATGAGCATGCTGCCAAGTTGCGTCCGCCATGTTGTGCCAACATGGTGGAGCTGAACCCACGGTTTGCCGAGAAGACTCCAAGAAGCATCCGACAGACTTGAAAGCCGAACCCAGTTGATGTGACAAATGTGTTAACATTATCAAAACAGATGCCTGCGTGTGAAGCGGCGTCTTGGTGAATGTACGTGCGTTTGCACGTGTGTCGCCTGGCCCTGCCGGCCTTCAAAGGTGCTTCGCTGACAGCACTTGCCCCAACAGTCTGGTTAAGGCTCTAAAGGGAGGGGGATCTTTTGTCTTTGTGTGTCGCTTTGCAGCGTGCAGACCGAGCTGTGTACCCTTTGAGCCTGCTGGCAGTGACCAGCACCGCCTCACCTGGCCCAGCTGTGTCCACGAGGAGGAGCGACGACATTTGCCCTTTCCCAGGTCTGTTTATTCATCCCGTCCCAAGAATGCGTGTGAAACACAATGTTTCTACCGTGTCCCGTGCCGCAGCTGCAGTGAATACGAGAAATGGAAACAAATTGAGTGGGGCAGTTTATTCAAATGACCCCATTCTTTTGCTATTTAACAACAGCGTCCGTGACGTGAATGCCAATTGTTTACAACGTAATTCTTTGCTATTATATATTACTGTGCGGTGGTTATGTTCCTGCCTTGCCTGTTTAATATGAGAGGGAATTTTCAAATTAATTTTCACATCAATAATGCACGTTCACTGAGTAATGTTTTTGCGTAACTTGTTTCCATATAAAAAAAACGTTTCACCTAAGGTAATTTTATTTTATTTCCCAATTGTGTTGCTGGCATCTGCTGTAGCCAAGCAAAATGCTATCTCCATCACCAGAAACTGTAAATCGACAGCGGTGCACGACCCTGCGTGACAGGAAACGGCACTGGAACGGGGCCTCTGCAGTGCGGCTTTCCCTCGTGCCGGATCGAGGGCACGTTCCAGTTTCAGGGCACGCTTTCATGCGTCCGCTTGCGACGGGGGTGTTGTTCACGCGCTGGTTATTTTGATCGGTGCCAACGGTAACGTAAGCGCTTGGCGCGACCGGTTTGAAACAATGATACGCGAAAACGTGTGAAAAGTAACGCAGCCCCTGTGCACGTGCAGAAAAAAAAAACCGTCAGCGTTTCCCGATGAGGTGCATTGTGGTCCTCTTGGCTTAGGTCATCGTGAAGATACATTTGAGCACATATGACCGACTCATAGGCAGAAGTGAAAGAGGAGTGATAGACAACTCTGGGCTGGTTTCATTATGGTTATGACCCATCAGCACGGTATAGGTACCGATGCTTGGCACGCTGCGCAAAGAACGCGGTATCCCGAGTTTGATTCCCGGCCACAGCTGACATCAGTTGGCGAGCGATATCCTTACTGTTCCTCGGCTCTGCCTTCATAAACCTGCACAGACCAGAGCGGTGAGGTATGGTCAAACTGTCATCGTGACTGACACAGCAAGGTGGGGGGGGAGGCCTTCATCCAGGAATGGATTGATAAAGGATTCAGGACTAAATTGTTTACACAAAACCTGCAAGTTGAACTCTTGAGGTGCTGGTGCAAAATTCAGGTTCTCGGTTCACTTTGTGCTCCGCGTGGGATCCAGTCCGGGTCTTGCAGTGCACCTGCGTCTGGAATGCCCGAGTGGAATGTGCATTGGGGTGTGCAGCTTTCAGTGATGAAATGAACTGAATTGAATGCACCTGTTAGGGAGAATTCTGGGAAGCCTTAGCTGCCAGTGACCGACTGCCTCTTTCTCTCCATATTAAATAAATAATGGCCTAGTTCCTATGCAGTCTCTTGTAAATATACGATCGCATTTCCACGCTGTATACAATTTCAAATTGTTTGCACCAGAGCTAACCTATGCCTCAATTTCTTAAATGCTTTTATTGTTTAAACCTGTTTAATGTTACTCTTGTTAAAATACTATATCCTGGTTCAGGTCATTTAGTGATGTGTGTGTGCAAGCGTAGTAGTAGTTTAGCGGTGAGCATGCTGCGCTTCGAACACGGTGACCCGAGTTCGATTTCTGCTCACGGCCAACACCGGTGACGATTATCTGAAACGGTCATGGGCCTCCCCTAAGTCGACTCAGCCTAAAATTAGTACCTGATGCGGTGTGTAAAACATCGCCACTGGGGAAACAAAGGCGGCCGGGCGTTGTGTTGGCCACTCATCTCCTCGTGTGCCACGCCGGCCTTCATAGGCACTTGCCCCCACAGTCTGTTAAGGCTATACGGGGGATGTTTGTCTTTTATTTTTGTGTACAGCATTAAGGCTGCAATAAGTATATTGACGTAAATGGCAGGGTACATATAGTTAATAGTAGATGTATCAGTGAGGATCTCTTTTGTTTGCTACACGTGTACCCTTACCCTGCCTACTCAGTGCCTCGCTTTTTTATTTAACCTCGATGAAGACCTCCTCTTGCTGTGTTTTGACCATACTTCACCAAGCTGGTCAGCGCAGTGCGTGTTGGTGAAGAAGGGAGGGTTGTGGGGGGGGGCGCCGTTCCGGGCTTAGTTTAGATATCGCTCGCCCCCCCCCAATGTTCAATGGCTCGGTAGAGAGTGCAGGTCGCCAGGTTCACAGCGCAGAAAGCTGCGCCGATGCTCCCCTTCCGCTGTTCGTCTTTAAAGCTGCACGATACAACGGAAGCTACATTTCTCGCAAGGAACGACCGTCGCATTTGGTTGTTAAAGGAGTTCTTGGCGCCAAACCAAATAGATTGTGTGTCCGCGCGCGCGTGCGCGCGTGTGTGTGTAAAGTACGAGTTTCATTCGGCCGAAAGCGTGGGGCAGGGCGATGTCTGAGCATGAATGTTAAGCACTGGCAGGGCGGACCTGGAAGTCTAGTGTGTAGCCGATGTTTGAGATAAGCCTTTAATGGCGTGTGCTTGAGCGTTCAGCGCGTTCCAGTTTACAAATATCATCCACGTGCGGAGGTTTTCGCGGTCGTGTCGATGGAGTTATCGGGTCGCAGCGCGCGCGTGCACGCTCTTCTCGACGAGATGTCCTTCATCGTCATTTCGCTCCGAGCGCACTGAGATTCTTCTCGGAATGTCGGACATTGTTCCGAACAACATATATCTATAGATTTTGTCTTCTCTTGTATGTTTCTCTTTTTTTCAGTGTTATTGTTTGAAATGTCAAGTCAAAAGTACATTTTTTCCTGTTCATTTGCAAATTAATGTTTTTATTTATTTAATAATAATAATTGAATTAACGTTTTTGTTACGAAATGGCATTTTAATTGTATAAAAAATATAAACACCCAACAGTTGGCCGAAAATGCCTTAATAAGTAGAGGATTGCAAAGCTTTGGCATTTATTGGTAGCACCAGATTACCACCTGGCTACTGCCTTACAGTTTTTTTTGTGGTTCCTCCGTAATTGTCGGATGCAATTTGCATGAACGATGATGCCGTACATAAAACTAAACATTATATATTTTTTGTTTGAAGGTTTATGCTCGTTTTCACTTTATAATTCAGTGCATTCTTTTTAACATATTTGAGGGGGAGTAATTAAAAATAAATAAAGTCTGATTAATATACACACATGTAAATGTACTTCAAGCAATTATTATGATCAAGCCATCCAGGAGAGGACCGTTCACCTCCAAGGAATCGATGCGCCGGATGGGCAGCAGTGGCCCAGTTGTGCACCGTGAACCCCGGACGATTGCCCGGCTGCACCTAACGTCAGTGGAAGGGTGGTGTCTGAACTCGTTCCTGGGCCCCCTCTTTTCAACAACCTACGCCAACCAGCGTGGTGAAGTGTGGTCAAACAACTCCGCATGACTGAAATGGCATGGGGAGACCTTCCCCCGGTAGCGGCGAGACAAAAGGGCAGCTTCTTTTTTTTATTTTCATGAAAGCGGATACGTTGTAGATTTGGGGATAATAATGAATCGCAAACAATTGTGGCAGGTGTGGGCAGTTGATCCTTCGGCAACAGATAACGGTGGTATAAACGCTTACGGATTCCAACGCCCGCTGTAGGCAAAAAAGGAAATCACGGGATAGTACTGTTTTTTTTTTAAACGAGACTTATTTACCCTGTACAGCCTGGAAATTCAGCCAAATATGTCAGCTGGAAAGTGCACAGTTACACGCGCGCTGTGATACAGCACAATCGTCCTGGAAGTTGTTGCCTGATGAAAGGGGCTGCAGCCTCTGGAGGAGCGTGGCTCCTTCATTATGCAGCACAGACGCTGGCAGCTGTCCTGCCCAGCTGCTGAGTGCATGGAACCCCTTGGCTGGCAGCTCTCCTGCCCAGCAACTCTAGCCACGCGCGCAGCAGACTGTTGACAGATGGCCGCTTCCTGGATCTTCGCTCGACAGTGGAAATCTGCTTGTTCGCTGTGGTAGGTGGCTGCCTAGTTTATTATTAGCTCCGCTGACATTCACTACCTTGTGGTTTGCGTTTGGCCATTTCTGCGTCGTTATTATTCTGCCGGGGTTTGTAATGGTTAGGACCAATACCTCCGACGAGCACGGTTGGCTATGTAAGGCGCGAAAGAAGTTCGACGTACACACAGGACGCTGGACTGTTGCCGGCTCGATCTCCCGGCGTTTCAGTTGAAACAATGGCGCAAGTTTCTTAAATACCCCCCCCCCCCCTTCCCCGCCTATATCCACCCAGCGGTACAAATGGGTGCACCAAGACGTCTGTCCAGCTTGGAAGAATAGACCAAGTTAGCCATCAGAGGGGCGGCTCGAGTGTTCACTCTGTTGTCCGCCAGCGGTGGCGTGTGAGCAAGTTATCGCAGGGCTGCATCCTTGACTGTACCTAATTTTATTGTTATTTGCCAAAAGCAAGCGGAGGCAAGTCCTCCCGCTCCCATCTTTCTTTCTGCTCCCGACTGTTTGCCCTCTTCGCCCGCCTTGCCAGTACCCCTGGCTACACTCACTTAATTATGCCATCTCGCTGGAATACATCCGTTGACATGTTTTTTTCAGGGATGGTTCTACGCTACTGTTATGTGGCCAGGATTATTACCCTGTGTGCCACAAGGGCAGGAGGTCAACATGGCAATGTTTCCCGGCGGCTGCCCTCTTAGGGAGAGGGGCTGTGGGATTGGGGGAGTGGAGTTCGTCGGCTGTGCTGAAACTCTGTACGGCTTCTTGGCCGTGAACCAGACTGTGTAGCAAATTCATCTCCGCATTGCAGTGGCAGATCATTACCCCCATGAGTTGGAACGTCAAGTGGAATCGGCATTTAATCCCAGGATTAATGACAACAGCAGCAATTACGTATGCACTATCGGTCATTAAATAATTGTTTTCAATAATTGGTTTACGGATATGTGATCGGTAGGATTAATATCGTGGGTATGGTTAATCCTCCATCTTAACTGTGTTGTTGATTTTGCCACCCTTAACCAAACATTAATTATATTCTTGGTTCTTTCGGTA